TAGGAATGGCCCCATCTCCAAGTAGTTCACTGAATACCCCAGGTGGAGTTGGAGCCCCGAGTCCTCAGGAAGAGGCGGCATACCGAGAAAAAATTCGACACCTCAGTAGATACGTTGAGCCCTTAAGAAGAATGATCACGAAAATGGGTAATGAGAATAATATCGATAAGATGAGTAAAATGAAAAAACTTCTGGAAATTCTATCAACTCCATCGACTTCATCGAAACGAGTACCACTCGAGACAATACTCAAGTGCGAGGCTGCGTTGGAAAAATTGGACCTGAAGAGGTCAGAGAACAGTGTTGGACCAGTAAGTACATCGATGAAGGAGCATTATTTCTTCAGTCCACTTCTGGAGGCTGTCAGCACGCATCTGCAGAGCCCAGTTGTCAATCACACGTTACAGAGGACATTTGGTCCGTGTTTAGACGCTCTTTTCGGTCCAGAGATAAAAGGTCTACCACCGCCATTGAAGAGACAACGAGTGGATGAATCAGCAAGTGAAATACCTGACGTTCTTCAGGGTGAAATAGCTCGTTTGGATCAAAGATTCAAAGTCAGTCTTGATCCAGCACAGCAGACAGGCTCGAAATGCATTCAATTGATCTGTTGGTTGGACGATCGCCATCTCCCATGTGTGCCACCAGTCTCGGTGACGGTGCCATCAGACTATCCGCTAACTCCTCCAAGATGTGTGATGGCACCTCACGAGTACGCAACAGCATTTCTCTGTGCAGTTCAGAAAGCTCTCAATGCGAGAATAACAAAATTACCAAAACGTTTTTCGGTCTCACAATTGTTGGACACATGGGAGATGAGCGTTCGCCAAGCCAGTGCACCCACACAGACATCTGTCAATGGTACCTCTGTACTAATGGGGCTTTAGGTCAATTGAATCGTCTTCATTAATATTTATGATATCGTAATTATATTTATTGTCAATCATTGAATGGGTGGAGTAAGGGAGTAAGTTCTGGAATTAAGGCTGAGCCCTTCTCATTATTCATGAATGTTATTTTGAGAGGACATATTCATGCTCAAATAAACTTACAACTTTCGATAAGAAAAATATTCAATGGTGTTGTCAATGTTTCCGGACCATGAAATGAGAAGCGTTTGTGCAAAATATCTAGGAATTGAAAAAAGATTGTAAATTTTTTATGGCAATCAAGAAAATTCGAAAAATACTTTGATACTGTAATCATTACTATAACTTTGTCCTCATTCAACGAGAGAAAAATTTAAATTCTTTAACGGTAATGGATTTTTTTATTTATAAGGATAACATGCATTTTCGTGTCGGTATATTTTTATGTTGACTGTCAATTGTGAATGTTTTTTCGAAAATTTTTTATAGAGAAATTCAGGAGTTATTAAGAATTTGAACATCTCCGTTTCGTTTCATTCCCTAGGTTAAACTAATCATGTCATGTAGAAAAGTTTCGCAATACATTTTTCAAATGATTTTTCTTATGGTTCATCTAATTTATGTTGTATGTGGGATAATGAATGACAGAGGCATTTATGTCGAGTGAAGTGATGGTGGGGTGAAGGAATGTGTGGGTTTTACCTAACTGGACCTGAATCACCGCGTCTCCTCGAAATCGGCTTGACCGGCTTGGCTCATCCCTTCAATCCATATTTCTTTTATCACTACATCATAAAATAAGTGTAATCTCTAAACATCGAGTGTTTGTAATTTTGTAATCGATGATTTTAATGAATTTTGAGAATCAGTGCACGAGTTCTGCAGTATATTTATGTCGAGAACTATGTGAGGCTTCTGCGATCTCGAGTGTAAACAAATAGATCTATCCCATGCACGACTTCGTTCTGGCGGGAAGTTTTTAAATATGAAGGAACAAGTGAATTTGCACAAGTTGGAGACTCTATTCTATTTCGCTGCTTGGAGTGGAGGCATTTTTTACGGCCTGTATCATCTTTATTTGGCTGGAGCCTGTAAATATTTCTGACCATATCTTGTTCAATTGAGTATTATTTTTTTCCCCTGAATTGATGTGAATAAATGGGAAGGAATTATGAGCTAGCCCATTTTATTAAAATTGATCTAAAAGTGAAACTTTCATATCAGAAAATTCATTCATTGAAAAAAAAATATATCACGAGAAGTTCCTCTATATATTTATAGATTATTTAGGAATAAATGAAAAATGTCGAATTCTGTTATACTTTTGATGGAAAGCCTGGAATATGTACTAGCCATTCGTAATGAAAAAATGTGAGTTTGATCCCCCAGATTTTGAAGACTATGACGATGCCTTCAACGATTTCATCCCCGGATGGTCCTGGGTGGGACGGAAACAAGATACATCCGACATCGAGTGGTCTCTCTGGATTCCTTTCATGTACCAATTAATTCCTTGGATCACAGTACATCTGGCATTCTCCCAGTACCTGAAGTGGTCAGAGTGCAGTAGCACGATAATCTGCTGCTGGTACATCACAATTTCAGTAGGATTTTTGTGTCATTATGCTGGAGGGATCACAATGATTCTTCTTCTCATCCAGCCCTGTATCGCGTGTTTATTGACATCATTCAGGAGTAAGAAAGTAGCATACGTCATACACTTTGCGACGTTAGGAGTTATTCAGTTGAGCCCTACGCTGGAGATTGTCATTCAAGATTGGCTGATGTTGAAGGAAAACGTCTACCACATGATAGTAATCGCTATCTGTTGGATGCAACTGAGAACCATCAGCTGCAGCATTGACAACATTACTGATTACAAGCATAAAAATATTATGGGCTTTTTGAAGAATTTCATTCAGAGCACTGCTTATTGCTTGTATCTTCCTACATTATTCTTGGGGCCATTTGTACTTTATAGTGATTTTATTAAAGGGGTGAGTACTCCAGTCTCAAGTATGTCACTTCCACAATTTTCCTTTCATTAAAAATTATCCAATTGCGATCACATCGAACGTTCCTTGGTGTCGAAAGGATGTAGGCCGTGAAAAATTAGAAATCGTACTATCTCCTGAGAAATAATTAGATAATTGGAAATCGTTTTTGGTAATTTGTCTTTGATTTTTATATGTTTCAGATAGAAGGGCCTTTTAGAGAGTGGACATTCCGACGGTTCACAATTTTTATATTGAATATAATACGTTTCACTTTCTGGATATTCTTCACCGAGTTGAGTACACATTTTATCTACTGTAATGCGTTGCAGTATCATCCGGAATTTGTGGCACAACTAAATCCTTGGGCTTTCTATGCAATGGGTTACGCTATGGGACAATATTTCCTGAACAAATATGTTGTTTTTTATGGAACCTGCGGGGAAATTAGCAGAGCTGACAATATCAATGCTCCGCCTCCTCCAAAGTGTATTGGGAGAATTCATTTGTACTCGGAGATGTGGAAGCATTTCGATAGAGGATTGTATCAATTTCTTATCAGGTGAAAAACAATTTCATTTATTCATGATCAACATGATTTTGTGAAAATGAGAAATTTCGTGAGTTGAGGCAATCGTTTCAACCGAAAACATGAAATAATACGAAAATAACTCAATATCAATTTTTAATTTGAATAAATAATCAGCTGGATTTTCGAATTTCAGATATATTTATGTGCCAATAGCATCGATGGAAATTCCACTCAAGAAAATATTAGCTTCATTCATATCATTCGGATTCGTATTTCTTTGGCATGGAGTTCAGTTATTTATTTTCACTTGGTCTTTCCTGAATTTCTTGGGGCTGACTATCGAAGGTATCGCCAGATCCATTAGAAACACTCCGGGATTTATGGAATGGGAGGAGAAACGGTTGACACCAAAAAATGTCCGCAGATTCCACTGTTTGCTAGCCAGCCCTCTGTTAGCCCTCTCGGCGATATCCAATTTTTATTTTTTCGCTGGCCAGGATATTGGCAATATTTTTATGTACAGGATTTTTCATGGTGAGTACGGAATGCTATGAATTTCAATTTATAATCCTTCCCGATTTCTCTTTATAATATTGGCAGTGAATTCTTAAGGGAGCTGGTGAGATTAAATTACCTCTAAAGATATATTTAAGAATTGAATAAGCGAAGATTTTTTAATGATTCAATCTGAGAGAAAATTTTACACACTTGGTATGTAAATTCTTAAGAACGCAGGAATTTTGAAACTTTTCTGTGAAAAATGTTCCAGACTCACCCAAAGCCGTGGGCATTCTCCTTTTCCTACTCTACTGCTGCTGCCAAGTGTCAACTGAAGTGAAAAACTACGAGATACGAAGAGAAACTAAAATTGAGCTTGATGATATTGAAAAAAGAATGTGAGAAATATAAATAATTGTGAATTTTATTACTGTATTGTTGATAATATAAGGACGACGTAAAATTATGAAAAAATATTGGAAGATTTACTCTTGGCAATCTCTTCTTGTAACTTCTCTTCAAAACGCTTTTGTGACATGATCAATGTACTTATGTTCGGATGTCCAATACCAGCGGCCGTCCATTTCTCGTAGTTGCGTCTGATACTGTCTTCCAGTCTGTGCACAATTGTTGGTGCACGGTACAAATCATGAATTGTGTAGCCAGTGCTATGAAGAAATTGAAGCATTTTGGTCAATTTTACGATGGAGAGTGATTTAATATCAGGACTACGATAAAGAAGGGATGTGGCAGAATGCAAATCGCAGTCCATTACTTTGGCGATGTGCTCCTCAAGGGTGGTATCAGGACCAACGATCGTGTTCCAATTAATTTTCTTCTCCTCCCGTCTAGAATATAATTCATTAACGTCCACACATTTGCATTCTCATAATATCGATGATATCTTCAAGCTCTTTGAATTTTAAATCTTGCAATACGAAATTTACCTTTCAATTATCGAAATTGGACAGCGAATGAACCATGGCTTGATTTCTTTTATTCCAGCACGTTGAGC